ATAGTGATGACTGAATCCAAGGAGCTGGAAAACTGTCCCTGTAGTTGTGTCTGTTTTCTGCACAAAGGCAAGCAGCTCATCCATTGTGTTACATTATAAAAGAGTGTGTATGAGATTAAACCCACCTTTGTAGCTGAAGAGCTTCATCACTGACGTGCTTGTAACCCCCCTGGAGGCTCTTTAGCTGGTCCTGGAAGAATGAGACAAAAAAGAAAAAAAAAATAGAAGAATGAAATCAGAGAATCAGAGAACTCGAAATGAGCAACTTATCTCCTGAATGAATGAGGCAAAATGTGCTGTAAAATTTTGAGCTTACAGATGTCTAAAATTTGAAAATCATAAAACAAGTCAACTAGCCAATTGGTCATCATTGGTTTTTAATTAAAATACATGTACAATTGTTAAATATGTTGCTTCAACATTTGCCAAGCCTCAAACTGGGACGAAATTACAGAAAAGGCGTGAAGGATATATTTCATACATGGCACAGTTACACAGATGGGGCAGACAATTTAAAGATACAGTAATGCCAGAAAATGTTATGCTTTACTAAAATGACTTTTAGCTCTCCACTCCTTTCCACATTAATAACATTCCACCCCCTGGCTTAGTGCTTGTGTTTTAATAGTGGTTTATAATGAGGACAGGCTGCCTCAACATAATTATGCAACCAAATTTAATAACCAAAGACCAGTAAAGTTTAAGTGAAACAGTTTATCCTGATATGCAGAAAGGTCACAATAGGGCACCAGTCATCTACCAGCTTCCATTCACTGCAATTATGTGTGTTCCAGTCAAAAGTCAAAATCTTTATTCCTGCTAGGCTTTTTGACTGGTCTCTGCATTACGACCTAATCATTAGACAATATATGTGAGACATTTATTAGAAGGGAGATTGAGTAATAAAGAACGGTAATCAAAGAGAAATATCACACCTATTAGATCGATTGATCCTATTGAGATAAATGTTTACTCCAGTGTGCTCCCAGGTGCTTCATGATTTGGTCTCTGATGTTATTTGTTAAATGATGATATACAATACCTTACAATTTCTCAGTGTAAATTATATTGTGATTATAAGTGATAAAACAATACGGAAGACTGCATAATTGTGAAGTTTAACGAAAATGAAACATGGTTTTATATTATCACTATTAACTCTAATACTCTTTGATAAAGCACACTGTAAATAGTTGCCTTCACAAGTCACTTAACATGTAAATTGGAGACCAACTGTATTTAATTAAATTTTATTTATGTCATTGTTCTTTAAAAAGGTTTGTGAGAGAACATTAGTACACAAGCAGCATCACAAAGTTCACTGACACCAGACGGGCTAGAAAAAACATTGTAAATCAAGACCTTTATCACAATGCCATGGTATATTGGTGTGTTTGGATAAGAATAAGATGTTTGCTGATATCACAAAGTCTGTCACAATAAAATGTATATTCAGTTTAATTTACCAGTCTACACTTGATAGTATGCAATATCTCTCAATCTAAAAATTATTCAAATTGTAATTTAAATCACAAAAAAATAAAAAATATATATAATATGGCCATTTCTAAGCTTTTACAGACCTAAGGCATCTAATTTAAACAATTCTTTTAATTTGAAAAATAAGAATAAGAGTGGATCTGTTTACAAGTTTCCTCCTAAAGATGGCTACATCTTAAAGATTATAATATTAACCATTTATATGATATTTTAAAGTAAAACAGCGCGTTGTTGTATATAGTTGGAGAAAAGGTTGCAGCAAAGTATGAAAAAGGGTTGGAATACCCCTATATCTGAGCACAACATCTTGCATGTGGCAACATCAAGCTTTGCGAATACTTTTCTTCAGCAGTGCACAAAGTTGAATTTGTCTGTGTTGATGATAGGATGTATGTGGCTAAATCAATTCTCTTCACAAGAATGAACTGTTTTGCATTTTTTGGTTAAATCAAACAAATAAAAAAGATGTGTGTAGTTCTTGTAAAATAACCAGAACATTTCAAGAGTTATGATTACATTTGCAAAACACAATACAGCAGTATGGAAGAGGGTAACCATTTAATTTACTCCTATACACTAATTGATGATTTTGTTTCAGGGGCTACTTCCACCGGTACTCTACAGATTGCTTTAGAAAATGTTGCCCCTTTGAAAAAGAATGGCTTCATTAATAACAAGCTGGCTCATTAAGGTGTAAGTGCTCACACACTTAATTTAGATCTGCAAACTTTTAAACACAATACAGGAAAGAAAATGCACTACACATCTACATGAATTCTACCTAAGCTGGAAAAAGACTGTTTACTTGGGTATTAAATCACCCTTCAAAAACAATAGCAGCATATTTCTCTTCAGTAAAAGAGGAGAATAAGAATAATCCTTGATTACTGTCAGAATTCTGGGTTAATGGTTGTTGTCTTTCGAATAGAGTCTTTGAAAAATAACCCAATTAGTAAGTCACTTAAGCCAGATGGCATTCAATTTGTATCAGATAATAATTTAAAAAACCTTGGTTCATTTTTTTTTTATCATGACATGCCATTCAAATCTCACATTAATTTGGTTTCTAGATTTTCCTTCTTTCATTTCCATAAATATAAAATAGTCAATGCCTTTGTTATTTCAAAGCTAAACTATCGTAATTCTGTATTATAAAGGGACCCACAAACTGTATTTAAAAGTCTTTAACCTACCTGAAATGCTGCAGCAAGAGTTCTGATCAAAATCAAAAAGCAATATCATATTTTTTTTATCCTAGCTTCTCTTTATTAGCTTCCTGTTAAATCCAGCATAGAAATCCTCCTTCTCAAATATAAAGTCCTAAATAACCAAGCAACATCTTATATCAAAGATCTGATGTTCCTTTTTTTTTCTAACAGGACACTTCGCTCTCAGTCTGCAGGTTTAGTTGCAGTTCCTAAAGATTCTAAAAGTAGAATGGGAGGCAGATCGTTTAGTTTGCAGGTTCCTCTCCTTCTATAGGCTCAGGCTGCTGGAGGACATAGGGACCACTTTTCACATTTCAGATTCATTCAAATTCAAGCTTTAACTCTATGTTCTCTCAGCTTTTTTTCACCATAGTAGCTTCATCTGGACTGGTTCTGTTTGGCTATGAGACAATACTGTAAGTAAATATCAGTTGGGTTGCTACCATCAACAAAATTATTCATATACAAGTGAGTCTGGTCTATTTAAAGTGTTTAGCCCTGTTTCTTTCCTCGACATAGCTATGGGCTCAGCTTTTACTGTGATTAACTGTACGTGCTCTCTTTCATCCCTTTTGCTTAGAAAACTGGTTTAGAGCTGATCTCCTTAACTGTTACTTTCCTTGATAGAGCAACCATGGGGCTATTTTACCGTTACCTTTTTCTAAAATACAAAGTATTTATGAATCACTGCTTCTATCTACTCTTGTCTTCTCACACCACCAGTAAGCCTTTGTAAAAGGCCAGTCCCACTGAGCCTGTACTTCCTATTTACTGTTGCCACATGCATGCTTGGTGCGAGGGACACAATGCAAGCGAATTTCTATCATTTCCACATTCTCACCAGAAGGAGTGAATCCTGAAACGTATTGTCTGTATTATCCGATTGAAGAGTTTCTGTAGAGTACATTAAGATGGCATGTGTTGCATATCAACACTATAAATAACTTAGGTTTGTGAAAAAAATCATTAAAAGAGACATCTGAGAATAAACCATAACATTTCACTTCCTACAACTCTCTTGTTGTAAGAAAGATAAATTAATTAGAGAATAAGACAGTAGTCTGGAAATAAGCTGGATATAAAGACAGAATGAAACAGCGGTAATAAATCAAAAGGGAGATGCATGCCTGTGTGTAAGAGTGTGAATGTCTGATTTGTTTAGGTAATGGAGTTTCTGGAGGACTTAGTGAGCAGCTCATTTCAACCCACCCCCCCTTCAGTTACAGATGGCTCTGTCACAGTGCTAACCCATGAAACTATTATTCCACCCCACAATTAAGGAGAGATGCAGACTGAAACACTTTTATATGTGCATACAGCTATAAAGGTAGTCCCAATCATGCATACGTTCATCATTTTTCTGTACATCGGCTCATAAAACAAACTAAAAATATCACTCTTTACTTTTTGAAAAGTGTATTACATATTCTTCAAAACTGCAGAAAGATGGCAATCACAAACAACCCAAATAATTTACTAGCAAGGGCTGGAAGAATACATTAAAATCCTGCTTCATACTTTAGGGTTAGTTGGCTAAATGTTCTGTCTACATCAGTGTGTGAAAAATGTACAAGATTATCTTTGTACTTTAGTCAGCTGCAAACAAAGAATGTTTAACATAAATCTTTATAATTTCTTGAGGTTCAAAAAATAACAGACTAAGTGAAATTTGTTAGATTTTTTTTCCAACTTATTTAAGGATAAACATATTTAACCACTATCTTGAAAGTTTAAGAACGAACCATTTAAAAACAAAAAAAGCTTGAATTACCCCAGTGGTTTGTATGTATATATCTATATCTTTAAACAGATATATAGAGAATGATAGGTATAGAGAGACAGACAGAGAGCAGCTTTGCCAGTTAAAAAAACTTTTTGTTTCCATTAATTTCTTCCAAAAAACTTGCTAAAAGATCACCCCAACCTCACACCTCAGACAGTCATTATAATGGGTGTTTTGTAAGAATGCTCAGTTGCTTCAGGTTTGAAGTGACTTCTTGACATGCTCTTTTGTTTAATGAAAAAAAAAAAAAAACTAACTGTGGGTAATTTTCCCAAATTTTCATACTTTTTGCATGGTGTTTATCATATCAAAAGAAATGCCATTAAATGGATGTGCATGATAATATCTCTTCTCCTTTTCAGTTTAATTGCATATAATGTTGAAAAATGAAATTTATAATGTATCCTATTTCTTTTTTACTTTTGTGTTTCTTTTTTTTTATCAGTGATGAAGTGCTTAGATAAGTATTTGTACTAGACAAGCACAACCTCTAACACAAATATTTGTATATCAGTATATAACACCTAAGCAAAGTCCTGATCTCAGCGGAACATTTATGATCATAACAGATAGCGCTGATTTCAAAATCTATAGAGTAAACAGCTACCGGGTATCAAATAAGACAAACCAATATGGTTTTTAAGCCATTTAATTTTTGCTTGTACAAAACATTTTAAATCTCCAGAAGTATAACAATAT